ACCTAAGCCTCTTGACTCTTTGTAAAGTAAATATACAGTAAAATAATAACTGAATCATATTTAAGGTTAGTTTGTTGTTGACTTTTGTAGTTGTTGCTGGACGTCTGTGGACGTTCTCACCGGGTCATTGACACTGACGAGCTGGAAAAATATCACGTAGAGTAGAGAAGTGCAGAAGTTAAGCTTCCAGGTTCACTGACATTTAAACCATTGTGAAACTACAAGCTGTAAAGAACTGCGTGTTCTCGTGACCACTCTCACTTTCACAACCGCAGAGGAGGACATTTTTAATCGTGCTCTTCTGCTGTGGTGAAGGATGATGCGGGTGTGAAGATGAGCCGACAGCACAGAGGTGGAACAGAAAAAAAGAAACACTGAGCAGATACACTACAGTGATCTGCTATGATGTGAACCTTCAGCACATTCCTGCCATATCACACACACACACACACACACACACACACCCACGTGCACTCAAACCTGATGACAGTTTATTCTGCTCACACAGATCAGCAGATTCTGCTCCTGCTTTTATAGTAAGTGAAAGTAAATCCTCAAGAAAACAGGTGTGAAACAACGAGAATTTTCTTCAAACTCTGAACACGTATTTCATTTTGAATCGATTTTTGAGCAAATGTGAGACAAATTTTCCTTTGTTTTGTTATAATGAAATACAACGCTGGACTGATGACTGACGTAAGACACTGTCGTTTATTTGTTGCTCCTGACCATGTTGTAAAAACCACTGTTTCTTACTTTTGTAAGGCTTTAATTTGAAACATATTCTAAGATTATTTAACGTTCTGTTTATTAATTATGTAGGAATTGCATGGGAAATTAGATTGGATTACATTAGGATAGATTAAGTCAGATTAGGATGGATTGCATTGGATTAGATTTGATCCAGTTAGAGTATTAGATTAGATTAGATTAGATTAGATTAGATTAGATTAGATTAGATTAGATTAGATTAGATTAGATTAGATTAGATTAGATTAGATTAGATTAGATTAGATTAGATTAGATTAGATTAGATTAGATTAGATTAGATTAGATTAGATTAGATTAGATTAGATTGTATTGGATTAGATAAAGGTAGATAGTAGATAAGATAAAGGGTATTAGGTTGGGTTGGATTAGATTAGAGTAGATGAGATTAGACACCATCTGAGAGAATGACAGCAGATTAGATAGGATTAGGGTTAGATAGAATATGAATAGATTGGTTTAGAAAGGATTAGTTTAGATTAGAATAGATAAATATATAGATTAGATACTTTTAGATTGGATTAAAGTGGAATGATAGAATTTTAAGGCAGATTCACTCTTTACGAATATTAATAGTCTAAGAAGGAATTTTGCACTGACACTTAAAAACACACGACATTAACACAAAATTACCAAATGCTTCTGAATTTCCACACTACTACATTTTTAGATTTATCATCGTCATGGATGCCTCTACACATGGAACAACGCCTACAGAACAAGAAAGCAACTGCTGACACACACACACACACACACACACACACACAAATCAGTCGACAAAAATTTACAAAATGTTCAGGATTTTGAAAGAATAATTTATGACTGACTGCTAGCTCACAGCTTCAGACTGTGACGGTGAGAAGAAACAGAAGCTTACTCAGCCAAATACTTCATCAGCTCTTAGTCATTAGTCATTAATCATCACATGTTCAAATAAATCCTCTACTTGATTTCACAACTGCAACCTATCTGAAACACTTCCTCCCGGAGGAGTGCTGAATTTCCTTGAAGACATCATGGAAAAAGAAACAATTGAGTCATTTTTTCAAAATTCAGTTTAGGACACAATTATTCTTCTTTCAATCTTTCTAGTGTAAAAAAAAGGGGGAGGGGGGAATGGCCTTTGTTTTTGCACCTGCAGGCTCAGGACGAGGGTCTAAAACAACCACGAGCCTAAATATTCTAAGAGAAAAAGGGAGCTGTTACCAGCAGCAGTCATTATCATTCCTGTCAGTCACCAGATGGGTCCAAAACCATAGACCTACACACATACATTCAACTTCTGAAGCATTCCCCTGAAGCCTACTTCTAGTTTTCAGTTCACATTTAACCATCACGGCATCACAGAGCTCAACCAATGCCGTCTCTCTCGCTTCCTTTTTTCCCCCCTTTCCTTGTCGTCTTAATGTCGAACTTCACACAGATGGAAAAAATATGAGCAACAGTGACACAAAAAAAGTTAAGATGTCGGCTTTGTGTCATCTTCAGAGAGGTGAGCAGGTCCAAACAGGCCCAGTTGGTCCCTGTATTGTGCTTCACACACACACACACACACACAGGTTTACAGAAGACAGGGCCCCACTATCCAGAACAGGATTTCTACTGTCACACTGAGAGATTCATGGTCAGTGATCTTTGCTCTTCCTCACAAAATAAACCAGAAATATTTTGACAGGAAAAATTAGAGGGACAGAAAGAGGGGCCTCCAGCTGTCGGAGGAAACAGAAATGTGTAAAAAATGCAAAAAAAAAAGAAGAAAAAAAAAAGACAATGAATCACCACTGACATAAGTACATACACAGGAACGACACCAACGCGCCAAAAATGCACACATTGTGGTGAATCACCCAATAAACGTGTTGTTTGTGACGGTATTGGGGGAGACTACCGTTCTCATAAACGTGTTTAAATTATATATTTTTGCCTCACATTAAAGGATATAAAGTCAGAGTTCCTGTTTACATTTACACCTAAACATAGTCTGATAATGCATAAAAAATATAACTGGCTAAGAGAGGATCCTCCCTACTCTCTAATGTGGTTAATATCTCCATTCTCGGCTATTCCTTATCAGATGATGACTCCAACTGTGGTAAAGGCAGTCTGTAAGGGCAGTCTACCTGTCTGTGTCCTAATTAGACTTTTGCCCTAATTGTGCTTGATAATAGATACTTGCTGCCTATGTCAACCCGTCAACAAGAGCCTCAGAATAACAAGAAGTAATTTGAATAATGCAACTAAGACGCAGTGTATTCATCTAAAGCTGTGTCGTCAGATTATACATGTATTTATACATGTATGTACATGTATGCATATATGCAAATATATATATGCATGTATATAGATGTGTGTATATATCTATACATATGTAAATATATGTATATGTGTGTATAACATACAATATGTATATATATATAAATACATACACATATATTTTCAAGTATATTTTCAAATATGTACATTTTTTTTCGCAGTGTGAGTAAATAACATCGTGTCTATCAACAGTTATTATGTGGACGATAAATAAGGTGGACTTATTAGATACATGATGTGCTCCATCCTGACCATGCGTTAAATCGTGTTAACATTTTTAATCTGATGAATTTCACAGATGAATTATTGCTGACGCAGTAATTTTATCAGCCTAGATCCAGTTCCTTTGGTTGTCATGGTACAGTAGACCAACTACTGACCTTCTCCTTTGCCTCTTTTACGCTAACATCACCCATGTTCATGGTCACTACGACCATAAATCTCTCTGAGGTCTTCCTGTTTCCTCCATCTCCAATATGCTTCATCCAACGTGTCCACTATCCCTCCTCTACCTTCTCCGCCATCTCTTCCTAACATCATGTCCATCTCTCTGTCCAAACACATTGACCTTAGCTCTTCTTCTGATCTGCTCATTCCAATCCTGGTCACTCCCAATGAAAATCTCAGCATCTCCACCTTAAAAGCACTCCTGAAGCACGGCACTAAATCAGATTGTGGGATGTAAACACATCTATCCACAGGCTTGTCCACTCGTCATAATCTAAATATCCCGACGAGGTTATGTCTGTTTGAATGTAAACATATACAGATGTTACACCACGGTTTTACTTGACTCTCACACAGAGTTGGGAAACACTCGGTGTGACCTGTTTGAACAGGATAGGAGCTAATGATGACGCGCCAGGTGGTTGTGCTCCTCACGCCGTACGATCACTGCCTCAGACTCTGTGCTGCTTTTGTAACTGTGCGTTGTGCAAGTTTTGGATGAGATTTGCGAGTTCGTCAACAATGTTTGGCAAATTAACCCATAATAATTTAAGTCATTACGGTGTCTCATCTGCCTCTGCTAAGTGTGCTCTTGGTGCAGGCACAAAGGCATCGCTAGCCAACCAATAACACTTTTCTAAACAGAATATAATAATTTTTGATATTCGTACACTACGGACGACTGTTTGGCTTGAACATTAGCTATAAAACAACATAACATAACTTTACTGTCTCCATTTAGTGAAATGCCAAAGGAGGCACTCTAAGTGGCCACTGCTGCATTGGTACCGAATGCAAAATGTAAAAGACATATATATAGAACCATATATATCATATCTAGCATCAGAAATATATATTTTATAAACTTGTTGAAACGGTTTCCATTTACATTCTGTACTGTACAGGTTTTCATCACATGTCCATAGAGGTCCATGTCTTTCTAGCATACAAAAATAGACCTTTGAGAGTGACCTCAGAAGTAGACCACTCCACTAAACGATATACTCAGAGAGGGGATAGGCCAGGATCTAGTGCGATCATTGACGTTTTTAGGCCTGGACATAACACTCAGGCATCACATGTCCAGTTTTTAGGCCTGGACATAACACTCAGGGGTCGGTCCCTGACCCTAACCCTGTGTTTGGGTTACTAAGAGCAAATCATGTTAAGGTGGGTTGCCCAGGGATACAACGGCATACAGCTGGATCACAACTTCTGGTATGAAATACTGATCTACATCTTGTATTTGCATAAACACCCATGGAGAAAAAAAAGACAACACAGCATTACAGCTCTATAAATCATATTGTGTTAGTGTTGGGCAACTCTGCGCGTCACTGTGCAAACTTTTAACACATGTCAGTGTTTTCAATTTAGTGTTGGAGGATTGCATTAGAGATTTTTGTCAGGGGAGAAAGTAAAAGGAAAAACATAGAAAAGTTCAAATGAATAAATACACAGCAGAAACTCACCCACAAAGACGGAGAGAATATCCACCACGACCAGGATCACCTTCTTTCCCTGCCAGCTCATGTTTACTCCTGCGATGACGTTTCACTTTCATAAATACAAAAAAACGTGTTTATCAATTGTTAGAATGGTTAAAATGTTCTTTTCTGTAAGAAACGCCTGAAGAAAGAGGCAAATGAGTTGTTTTTAAATCTATATATATATGTACTTCCAGGAGAAGTTGTTCTTCCGGCTCTTGTGTCAGCGAGAGTGTGTGCGTACCTGCGTGTCTGCGCCGCTCTATCAGGTGAGGAGTAGTCCGGTGTTGCGATTCGTCTGGTTACCCAATCAATGTGGTTCCCATCCGTTTTCACGTGTGACATCCACAGCCCGCCGCTGCTGGTGTTGATTGTTATAAGTCCCTGCCCCTGAATGAATACGTCGTCACAATTTGCGACGTATGGTTTAAATTTGTTTGTTGTTTCTTTTGCAACGTAATTGTTTTATTTAACGCTACGTAACACACACATATAAGAGGCGTTAAAAGTTCATAATATGACAACAAGGAATAAGGTAACGTACGAATTTACATTTAAAATACCCTGCTCTCTTTTTCACTGTGCTAACCTACTAGCATTTTTTATTTATTTCTTATGACGTCTATTCCTTTTAAACGTCTATGGCTTTGATTTGAAAACGTTGTGTTTTCCTCAGACAGTTGACTACAAGTAATTCAACTCAACGGAAATGTAGTTTTAAATAATTTCTCGTAAAAGTATCTCTGTTTGCGTGTTTATTTCTACTGTTAACCAAAAACAGAAACAACGTTTTACTGCAGTAAAGTGTTGGACAATCAAATCTTAAAAATGAAAATATCTGCTTACAACAACATTGAACAAGTATACATTAAATTAACAACGTTGTCTATTTTCCTTATTAAATAGTCTCCCATTTAGTTAGACCTTTTAGGGAATGGAACCACTGTTCACCCTAATTCACTGTTGGAAATCAAATAATTACATTAAACAAATGGATAGAACAGTTTTATATTAATGAATTACACATCACTGGCGAACTAAATATATAATGTATAATAAATTATAACAATAATAAATAGACCCAAACTAATCTTACGGTATTTGTGTTTGGTTTGAAGTAAGAATATAGGTGAAACATACGGGCATTTTAAATGTTTCAACTGTAATGGTTTAGTTTTCCCAAAAAAGTAGAAGAAAATAAATTGAACTAAATAATTAGATTAAAATCACGTAAAAGAGTTAAAAAAAAAACAATAAAATAATTCACAAAAAACACCACAGATAACGTTGCTGAAACCTTTGTCTACAGGGCGGCGCCAAAAGTCAGATATCGTTAGTAGAAAGAGTCTTGCTGCTGCCCTCTTGTGGTGTTTTTGTGTCGTCTTCATTAACTGGAAATGTGACAAGACTTCTTAGAAATTAACCACACTAATTTTAACGGTATGTAAGACAAGGTTGGAGTAGAAGGAGTGATGAGAGGAGGAATTAGACAAAGTCAAAGTCTTCTGACCTCCTCTCAGTCATTGGCTCTGTGAAACTGGAGGTCCAGAGTCCAGAACTCACCTGTGCTTCAAAACAACAATAATAATTTCTGTTCAACACAATGGAGTCACAGCCCTTGTTTCCCTTTATTCAAAATAAAACTCATTGTTCCATATCTGCCAAATGATACAGATAATCATTGTTAATGATGGCAGTGACGTCACATCCTGAAGTCCACATCCATATCTATTCTCCTATTCTCCTACTTTGAACTACATTTGCGAGGCAGAGGCAAAGAGAGTTCCTGTATCCTGGAGGAGGCGCTGGCAGAGCGAGCCGCTCTGCTAACAATGTAGGGATCGTATCCTTCAAATAATCCCTTCCTCTCCTTTGGTACAGAGAGCTCCAGAAGTCTCAGGCTGGCTTTGCAGCTTCTGGCTGCTCTAGAGACGGGCCAGCACGGAGAGCGCTCCCCTCCACACTTTGAGTGGTCCTGCTTGGGGGCTAAATTAGAAAATATTATCAGGTCAATGATCAGGTCAAACTGCAATGATTGAACTGAGTGTTACACAATAGCTTTCTTTAGCCTTTTGATAACGTTAGATAAATCTACTTTCCTAACTGTTGAGAAAACATGACTGAAAAAAACATGAAAACAACTCACTTGACAGCAGCTCTATGTGTGCTGATGCTTTGCTGGATGAATGTTTCATGGATACAGGTCTTGTTTTGGGGCCTGAATCATCTGTAGTTGGCCTTCTTTTAGGCTGGGCAAGATGACAAATTCTTGTCGTAGCCACTGCTGTCTGTGTCGCTCTGTTCAGCTGCAGTTATATCAAAAGTTGTTACTGAAGTACTACATTTAAAAAAACCTCACAAAAACTGACATGTCTGAATACTACGGTTATTTGGATTACTCAAAAAGACTGAAATTAGTTAAAGGTTTCTGGTACCACTGTCCATGCAAAGTAAATCTTTATTAACCCTTTAAAACTTAGATTTAACGTCATATGTTCTTGTGTGTACTGGCGTTACTCACAGGAGCCAGCAGAGGGCGATCCGGCTCCCAGCCAGCTGCAGGTGCCCGAGGTCGAGCTAAGCTACACAAGCGCTGGGAAGGAATGACTCTGAGAGCCCATTCACTCACCTCCCAGATGGGAGAACGTCTAAAGAAGGATATGGAGCGAGAGTTAAGGTAAGAGCAGAGGAAAAGTCAAAGAAAGGACTGTTAGATACTGAAACATAGCAGGATAATAACAACAGGTGTTGTTTTATATATAAAACGACACACACTTACCCATATACATACATATATGTATATGTGAATATATGTATGTATATACAGTATAACATGTATGCATATGTAAATGTATATATATTTACATATATACCTACATATATATATATATATACAGTATATACATATATGTGTGGTAGAAACAAAATACAGTTCTACAGGGAAATTCATGCCAGTTCATCAGTAATTACATCAGTAATATTTACGTGACTTCAGTGTAGAACTTTTTACTTCTGCATAACTCCAACCAACGAGGGGTTAATTCTATGTTGGGAAAATAATATAAAAAAAACTTTATTCTTAAAATCTTCAACCAAATAATGACATAAAAGGAACAGAAAGATGGTTATTCACACCTACATATTTTATAGTCAGTTTATAATCATCTTAGCTGGGACACAACCCCACGACCTTCTTGCTACGAGGCAACAGTATTAACCACTATTCCATGCATTTTTAAGCATGCAATTGAAGCTTCCTTTTTGTTAGCAATGCTGTATATCAGGTTATACCTTTAACCTTAATTCAAATGAATGTATTTGATCTACAAATATTGCATAATTCAAAAGATCATCCTTTGTTTTTTACACTGTTGCATCAAAAATGGTTGACCAAACGAGGACCCAAATAAAATAGAGTGAATAGGACACCTACCAACTTTGGTTGTAGGTTCAGTCTTCTCAGATGGCAGTTTATCCAACCAATAAACTGAACGACTGTGAGACAAAATAGAAAAGAAGATGATTAAAAAAAAAGCAGAAGAACTAGACAGAGGAGTGTTTCTGTCAGTCCTACCGGTCTGGACTTCTAAGTCGGTTCAGTTTAGGCTGAGCCAACTTCTGGGTTCTGAGGGACGCCATTACAAACGATTAACAACAGAGTTGTCACTGCCGTTGTTGCTGTTGACACCTAGTGGTTGCTGGGGAGTCATGTGACGTTGGACTTACCCAAAGATCGTCTATGCATGGGCGAGTGTGTGTGTGTTTGGGGCAAGCAGTAGTGGTGCTATAAATACCACACACCAGCAATGTAAGGAAACTGGTATATACACATATATGTATATTGACATGGCGATGGTGCCCAGCCCTAAACTCTCCCTCTCTCTTAAAATAAATATTGATTAATCACTTAGCTGAGGATTAATCATGACTAATTGATATAAATCAGCATTTCTAAATATGACCAGAAAACATGTTTCATGTTAAAACATGTTATAAATATATACATATACAGTATATATATGTTTGTTTATCTATATCTATACTGTTTATTTATACAGACATTACCATTTTTTCTAGTTAGCCTGATATTTTCATTAAAGCGTGTGTAAATGTGTGCATTAATCTGAATGTAGATGCAAAGGAACAACACAACCATCAGACCCAAATGAAGCAGCGCAGCCCAGATCGGTCTGAATCATTTAAAACTTTAATATACAGTGTTGCATGGATCATTACTAAAAACACAGGTGGTACAAATCAAATGGAAAAACAAATAAGTTACACTAGAAAAGAAGCACTTGAGATTCCCTTCCATGTCTCACCATTAGAGTGAACCCCAATATGAAAATAGCATAGAAAGTATGCAACATAGAGTTTCATTCGTTCATATATATATATTTACTAAATTTTAGCTAAATAAATCCTTTTTTTTACACAAAATTCCCTTAACCGACAAAAGTTTACAGCTGTGTTTGTGCCATGGCCTGGTTTTATAACAGTTCATGACAACTTTCTCCTGCGGGATGAGCCCAAATAAAAGGGGAAATATAAATTAACATACCAAACAAGTGAACAGTCTGCAATTATTTTTCCCATTGACTGGCATAAAATGAAGCTTTTGACCTCAAATCATTTACACACACACGCGCGCGCACACACTCACACACACACAGTCTGTGCATAGACCCAGTTTTACTTGTGGAGATACTGGCAATTGAAACATTTTCCGCCGAACTCTCCACTGTGGTTTGTCTTTTAAAAGGAAAGTAACCATTTAATTTACGGCTCTGACCCAAAGGGCAAAACATAATAAAAAAGAGAACATTGTTTTTCCACTTTCCATTTCAATGGCTGCAATTGGAAAACAAAGACACCCAGAGAACAGGCAACCAGAAATACATCAAGACCACTGATCTTCATACTGAGTGTCTTGCTTTAAACGTAACTGTTTATTTTTTATCAAAGTATAAAAATGTTTCTCTGATGTGTACATTTTGTATAGGGACCCACTCACCACTGAGAAGACTATACCACTGTCCATATGGCTATATTTACCAAATTAATTAATCACCAAATTATGTCAAATCATGTGGCATCCAACAACTTGGTAATGAGTTATAAGCCTGGGCGGCAGCGGGGACAATTACCTATTGCTATTGATGGCAAACCTAAGCATGGGACAGGATAGGTATTGCTTTGGGGCTGTATTTTATCCACTGATGCTACAAACCCTGCTGTGTATAGTATTTTTTACAAATCAAATATTTTTAAAACCCAACATTGCCCTTCAACATCAACATGACAAATAGCATTTAAAATAGTAAAACTTTGTATTGTCACAGTTTAGATTGTGATGAGTCACATGACCTCTGTACCCATAACAGTGGACCCCTGTATAGAAAGTTTGAGCAACAGTACTCTGAATAAAACATGGGAAATCTAATAATACCTTCAATAAAACATTAAGTGTAGAGCGGATGTGTTGGAGAACGCAGGTTTTGAGAAGAAAAAAAAAACATTTGTCAAAAAGGCTAAGTCTAGGTATAGTTTACAGTAAAGTGCCTTTTATTCATTGTTTTATACAAATATTAACAGTCTTTGAAGTGTAAACTGTATCCGTGGCTGACTCGTGGTAAACTGTACATGTTGGATAAATGTGTCTGGAAAGAAACTTTTGGTGAAACCAAAAACATTTGTGTCTAAACATAACAGAAATTAGTTTCATGTGTAGAATTAATGTTTGGCTTTTTTTTTTTGGAGTAGGGGGCGCTGAAATCAAAACTTGTGATACAGGAGGTTCTGTTGTGTTCTGTAAAACCTGGATGTTCGCTTGCCCACAAATGTTTCACCGTTTCCTTTTACTGTACTTTCACAACTGAACTTTTTTATTTTTTTTATTTTAAATGATAATTGTTCTTCTGATTGATTCCTGTGTGTCCATTGTGGTATTTCAGTCCACCAACGTGTGATTGTTCCTAGTTCTGCTGATTAACTGTACCTTGTCTGCAGTTTTGAAGAAGGAATATAGGGCTCTGTGGTGGTTGGACCACTCCTGTTGTGGCTACTTCAAACAGTTGAGGGGTTCTCAGAAATGGGTTTAAACCCCTTTCGTGTAAACTCTTAGACTTATATTTGAACAATTAGATGGAGTTTTGATGAAAACTGCCAGGAAACGAATGCAACGTTTATTCCCTTAATGGATTTAGATTTATGACTTAGTGCTGTTTGTTGTTTTTCCCACTTTGTTATGTGTATCTGCAGAGACGTGTGGAGTGGGCGCCTGCTATCAGATACACTGATGACGGGGAGGCATCCAGAGCAGCCGGGGGTGGGGAGGGGCAGGGGGTTCTGGACTCTCTCACAGACCGTACATAAGAAAAGGAGGGACCAGCTACACGGTTACAAAAGTAAGGGCTGGGGGGAAAAAGACTTAAGTGGGTCAATGTTTTTTGGAAGTAGTGTCTTATGCACGTGAATGGGAAACACAGACTACGCCCTGTGTCAATTCATACTGACCACCTGGTGTTTGGATTTAACATTTTGCAATTATTGGGATCAAAATGAACAAAGCTGACATTTTTTTCTGTTTTATTGAACATGACTGTAACATAGCCATGAGACCATAAACTCCTGACATTTTTATCTTTTCGGTCTTTTATGGCTTCCCTTCTCCATAGTTTAAAACCAGATGGCTAGGTCCACTTCATATATACGGTCTGTGCTGGTAACAGAGTGCTGTGAACTAGTTCTATTGCACGTGTTTTTGCCTTTTCTTCACGTCTGCCTTCCAGAAAAAAACTAACAAACAAACAAAAAAAAAAAAACAACTCACAGTTATAAACAGGCAGCAAGTAGCATTTTTGTTTAAATTAAGAAAAAGTTCTTGACATGTAAGGAAAAAAATCTCTTAATTAGACTGCAGCCAAAAATGAATATAATTATTGATAATAATAATAATATTAATATTGATCAATAACAAGAATGTTCACAAAAACAACAGTAACCATACAAATATCATTACACAGGCAGGAGAAAAGTAACATATACCTGTATATATGTTCATATATAAAAACAGCAACAACAACAACAGTGTAAAATTGATTGTCATTTCAGGGTATTAATAATAATAATTTAAAAAAGAAACACCCAAGGCATCAAACGTGAGGAACAAACTGTGAAGTGGGAAAAGTGACAAGGGTTGAAGAGGGAAGATTCACAGAACTGAAGCTTAAAATGAACAGCTCAAAAAGAAGAAGAAGAAAAAACATTTGGTGCACAACATGCCTCTGACAAAAGCTTTTGGCAGCCGGCAGTGCACAAGAGCGACGAAAACAGAGGCAACACTTTGTACATGCTCTCCTTCCGTCCATCCATCTGTCTGTGGTGTTAGTGCAGAAAAACTGACAGCAGAACCCTCCTCCCATCAACCCCAGCTGTCAGATTTCAGAGTCCGTCTCCTCAAACTCTTTGACGTACGCCAGGGGAAGGTGAAGAGAGGAAACGCTAACAAGTTCCAGGTCCAACAAATGAGACTCAAAAGTGCTGAGGAAGGCAGTGGCCTGGCGTGGACAGAGCGAGAAGGGCGCCAAGTGAAGCGGCATGGCTTTGATTTGACCGAGCCCTGTGACCAACAGAGGTAACTCCTGAAGAGCTTTAGAAGCAGAGTAAAGGGGTGTTTGTAAGAAATCACTCAGGTGCGCACGCACACACGCACACTCACACACATACTCATTGCAAACATTCACACTCAAACACAGACGCAGGACTCAATCTGTCCCTGAATGTGCCAAGCAACGGAAGTCATCTTCTCCTCAATTCCCCGGGACGGATTTGTTTTCCTCCGACCCCACAGAAGAAGCCACGTGACAGTCGAGATTGTGCAGCCTTCCCGCTACTGCCAGTCCTCATCGTCCTCATCCTCTTTTTCTGAAGAGTCCTCGTTAGTGCTGTCTCCACCCATCTGTCGCATCCCATTCTGCTGTCGAGCCGCGGACATGAAGGCGGCAGCTTCGGCTGCAGCTTTTGCCGCTGCCTGCTCCTCTGCCTCCTTAAGCCTCAGAGCTGCGGCCTTCTTCTCCTGCTCTGCATGGCTCTTCATGTGAGCACTTCGGCTCTTCACCTTGTAGAAAACCCTGCAGAAAGAAAACAGCTTAGGATGTAGATGAAAACAGATCAGTCCAACTTTATCAACCTTAAATAAAAGCCCATAGTTTACACACAAAAAGTAAACTTTTAGGTGTTCGTTGGACCTTAATTAATCTAATTTTACAAACTCCCGCTCTGGGTGTTAACACTGGTACTTTTTACTTTGACTAAATTGATTGATTGACATCTCTACAGTGGAAATCACATCACGCAACAAAGCTGAGAGTCTTCATCAGCATTAACTTCCCTGAATTATCCAAAGAATTTTGTTGTAAGCAACTGGACTCCTTCTTGGAGATTGAAAGACGTCTCGTTCCTTAACTGAGGAACTTCATCACCACCAGAAACTGGTGTGGTGTTTATAAGTGGCTGGTCTTCAAAACACACCCTTGTGTGGATCTGGTGACCAAGTATACACTGTATGCACTGAAAAGAAACCTGGTGTACAGATTGTGTGGATCTGGTCACCAAGTATACATGCACTGAAAAGAAACCTGGTGTACAGTCTTTGCTGTGTCTCAGTTGCTAGGACACGGCTGGCGATAACAGGCCTGGAGTTGTCATGCTGTTATTTAATCAAAGCACCACAGCAAGACACTTGACTCTATTTACTATTTCAAATTCCAAGTGGGAAATTTCTGGAGTAATATTTCCTACAGTAAAAATTTATGTTTGATACCTGGATTGTTAAGTGTCAGGCTGGATAGGATTTATATATGTTTATAATTCCTTGCAAAACTGCGTAAATACAGTCTGCAGTGCAAATAGCAGTATAAAAACAGGCAGTAAGCAATAATTGCTACTCGTTTATCTAATATTTTGTGAAAAATACTTACTATATTTAATATTAGTTAACCAGAAAAGGCTAAATGCTGATCAAGGAAATCTTAGCCAGCCAAATGCTAAATGCTACCTGATATAGATTCAAGTGTCCTAACTGCAAAACTCTAGCTAGCTAAGTGGCTAGCGGCTGTTTTCTCTTGTTATAAAATATGAAATATATTTATATTCTGCATATTAAATTTAGACCAGTATGTAAACAAACCACTCCTTCATGATGAACACCTTCAGACAACAAACCTGCCACATTTCTTGCAAGGAAATTCTCCCTCTTGAGCAACTGCAGTTTTTCCGCCTGTTGGTGGATTTGACCGTTGAACGTTGTTCTCTAATCGCGTTCTGGAGGTTGGTAGAGGTGGATGAGGTTGGTGGATGACCTGGGTTAGCGTCTTTTCTCTCCCGAGATTCTCCTTGGTTTTCATGATAAGGACAGTACCAGGCTGCAAACACAATGAAATAAGAGTAAAAATAAGTTACCTAAAGAATTTAGCGTAAGAGCCAACAACACAAGGGTGGATGTTATACAGCCAAGCAAACATGTACAAGAATAGCAACTTCTACGGCCTCAGTCAGAGTTCTAAAGGTTCTAAAGGAAAATAACATAGACCTAAGAGTGTTTTTCTGTTGAGTCATTTCTGACAGTCTAATAGAGTTACACAATCCTCAGGGTGACGTGAGCCAAACTAGTGCCTGAATGTATCCAGCAGGGGGAAGCAGATCCAACTAATGTCCACCAGAAAAAGTGGAGCAAAGTTCAAAAGGCCAGCTGTTCTGAGAACAATACTGTACTCCATTAATGTGATACAGAAAGGCTAAACAATTTCATACTCTTCCACTAGAAGAGTATTCCAGTATTCCACATTAAAAAAAGAGACTTAAATCTTAAAGAAGATCTTTGTGCATGTCTTTCTTCAATTCCTGCCAGGATACCAGGGTTAAATAAGGAGTTAGTGAATTGCGACTACATTGAAACAAGACGATCAATGTATTTGATTACATATACGTTTGTGACATTTATGCTGGTGTACAAATCAAAACTTGTGTCATGGCTTAAAATGTTGGAAAACACTTCTCAGACACACAATGTACATATCCTATCTTTGCATTTGTCCCTTGTGGATCTGTTACAGTGCTGAGGCTTGTGAGGATGTTCATATTTGTTTAAACCATCACACTGTGAAGCAGAGAGATAAAACAATGGGACTGAAATTCAGTTTGTGTTGACATTAAAACAGCCAAGTAGCATCTTGCGAGGTGCGTTACTACAGAAACAGACCTAAGAACAAAAAAATGCCCTGAGCTGAGAGTTACTGCAGAATCCTAGTGTGCTTTAAAGGAGCCAAGAAGACAAACATGTCAAAGGACCTATTCTAAAATCAGATTAATCGACCGAAAACCCCCTTTTTGTACAATCACATGAATGACTCAATGAAGATGTGACGTAGAGCCCATTCCTGGTTACTTTTTAAAACTAAATGATGCATTCATTTTTTACTTCTTTTCCAGTCATTGCTTCATTTCCCATTTAATGGACTATGTCACACTTACTTTCTCAGCAGACTGCAGCGATTGTGTCACTCTGGTGGCGCAGACATCCTGTTTCCTGTCAGCTGACCCTTCCCACTTCCTGCTGTCCTCCTCCTCCTGTGGTGGTTCCAGTCGATAAGAGGCCTGCAGACCAGAAGGAGAAAGTAGGAGCTCAGATCTAAATTTCCAAGGTACACACGTCACATTTCAATTCAGCATAAAACTCTAAAAACAAGTTGAATGTTCAAGTATTAGATTGTTGAAAAGGTTTTTTGTAGTTATAAACAAAATTGTCATGTGATGTTACACATGTTGCCGTCATCAGTGTTGAACGTCCACAAGGCTGATACACGTTTACAACTGACCTTATGGTCCAGCTCCTGCTCCGTGGTCCTGCTCTCCAAAGGCTCTGCCTCCCCATAAATCAGCGTCCCGTTCCGGCCGATCTTGACGTGTTTCTTGTATGTGTAGTAAAACTCCACACACTGAGACACTGTTTTTGTGGTCACCTATAAAATCAGACATGCACAGGAACTTATAATGAAGTGTTTTCAGTTCTGTGGTTTTTGCATCCTTTGCCCAAATGTTTGCCCCTTTGCCCCTTATTATAGAATCAATAGAGCAACTGCTGTTAAATACAAATACAGAGGAGCATCTGCCAACACCAAAATACACATGGAATCTATCAAAACCTCTGACTTAAACTTTCTAGTGTCTGCAACACCTGCATAAGTCTGTCAAACAGCCACTAGTACACGCTAACATTCACTAACACCCCAAAACATCTGGTAACCTCTGTTAAAATCTGATAAAATCCACAAACGTTTGCCCAGAGCAACCCATTACCCTCTTCCACATGCCAAAATCTGCTGACATTATGAATATTAACTTATACAGAAAAATATCTGTTAGTGAAGACCACCCGTTGTGTCCTAATCACATCTGCAACCACAACCCATCATGTGTTCAAAATGCTAACATCAGCTAGCACGTTTAACTAATGCCATGTAACATCTATGATCAACTACAAACTCCATCTTGAACCTGTTAGCTAAGGCCTTCAGGTCTTAATGTTATGCTAACACATGCTGCTAAGGCCAACCAGTAGAAGTTATCACTTACTCATCTAGCTAACATCTGCCAAGATCTACTAACACAATATTAACACGCAGTTATAACAGCCAGCATTTGCTAACAACTATTCCCATCTCCTTTACCACATAACATTAATTCACATGTATTAACAATTACAGATAACACAAACTCACCCTGCTAATCTCAGCTAAAACTTACAACAACTAAAACAAACATTTTGTGAATTGCTAACACGCATTAACATTTAGCATCTAACACAACTTTACACTATGCACACAATTATAAAAAACAACTGACAGCAGTAATGGATTATAAAGGCAGCTGCTGAACAACTAACTGTAACACAATGCTGTGACTCAGTTCTAGATCTAGGTCTTACTTTTAATTTGTTAATTTAGCCATTTAACACAGCTGGTCAAAGAAGTGGGTCAGATCAGAGGATAACCTCTGTGCAGAAGCAGTGACCCACTGTGACACTGCGAATTGACAACTGCAATGTGGGAGGAACATTGTTCTGTGCTGACTAAACATCCCTTTCTCTTCCTGGCCCCTGACACAGGGAGGCTAGGATGTCAACAACTGTGCACTGCCCTACTAGAAGCTTCTGCTTCTGCTGTTGGAACAATTCCTAGACAGCTTTAGTTCCATGACTAGACTTGAGATAATGTTCCTGCCCCCGTTAAGTCAATGCCTCGGTTTCAGACCCCACGACATGTACCTGTTTCTGCACCATGAAGAAGTCTTTCTTGTACGTAGTGATGCCTTTGTTGAACTGGCGTCTCTCAGCTGCTGCCCAGCTGTCTGATCCTGATGGACAAGAGGAGGACATTTAAACACAGACAAACAGAGGGTGGAGGGGGGTTTGCTGTTGTTTTACATTGGTTGTAGTTGTAGATTTGCTTGTTATTGGCCAATTTTTTGGTGTTTTGAGCCTCTAGCTATTTTTGTCATGTTTATAAGCCCAGTTTTGTTTATCAGTCACATGATACACACAAAATCCCCTAAACCCTTTATTCATCACCTAACTTTCAAACTCTAGTACCTCTGCAGACCTTTTGTGCACTGGATGAGTAAGAGGGATGTCACTCTAGTGTGTGTGTGTGTGTTTGTTCGTGTGTGAAAGAGAGAGAGAGACTCAGACAAGTCCAGCCCCACCCACTCCCCCACCCTTAAAACCACACATATTCACACAAATCACTTGATAAACAATGGCTCTCCTGTCTTCTGCCAGGGATTAACCACACACTGTACAAGCCCCTCCCCTTTCCCCTGCTTGCCTCATCACGTTGACCCTGACAATCCTCCACATTCACCCACTAACCCCCACCAACAACACCAAGACCAAGGCCGTACTCTCACTGCTGCAGCTGCCAATGCTTGGGCCTGAAAGACTAAGACAGGCCGTCACTGTTTTAATGGGACCGAGTCAGAACTGAAAGGAAGGAAGGAAAATGGTCCCCACATGGTTACGGACTGAGGCACAGGCATCAACAAATACTGAATTGATCTTGGTTTGAATTATTGCTCCTTTTGCACTGAAGTTCTCTGAGCAGTAGGGAGTGAGAGTTCAACAGATAAGGATGATGGGAAATTATGGCAAATGTTTAGTTGATATGACTTGGCAGTGGCAATCTATTGTGTAAGGAGCTGATAGGGGAAATACGCCTTCACTTTTTCTGTACTGAGAATTTACCATGGATTTTGTAACCTTCTTGTTTAACTTTTTGACACTACTCACTTGAACTCAACATTTGTAGTTTAAACTTATTTGACTTTATTTTTTAAGTTTGGGTGAGACAGTCTGAAACAGTAAGTACATTAACTACAAGCAGAATCTCTGTTCCCTGTCTATGACTGAAAGACGACAGTGATACAAGCTGTTGCTGACTACAGACTAAATAACCACATTCACCTGCCTGTTGAAGTGCATGTCTGTAGTGGGGATGAGACTTAATGCATCTCCAAAGGGTTAAAGTGAAACACATGAAACCTGTTTACATATTAATCAGTACATTCTAGAGACTGTGTTTTAAATATGTGAAATGCGTTGTTTGCATATGACTTGCCTGAGTAGTGGTAGCTTGACAGATGGTGAGACTTGGGAAAAATGGGATTCCTCAGCATCAGGAGCGACAGAGCAGCCTAAAAAAAAATTCCCAACAGTTTAAATACTGTAACCTCAAACTTTGTTTGGTAAAAGTATAGACCGTAGCCTCAAACTTTGTTTGGTAAAAGTATAGTACACAGATCCATGGTCAGCACAGGTAATCAGGGAGGCAGATAAGCATCGCTGTCATTTCCCTAAGAGTATCAAGTACACCATCATGTTATGATGATTAGCCATCTGGAATTGTCATGGAAAAAAGGATATACTTTTCCTCTTGCAAAGAAACTGTCTTTCTGAACATGAATTTTAAAAAGACAGCAGTTTGAGCCTTCCCACAGCAGAGTGTGGGTAGTTTCCTTGACAACACCAGGGCCAGTGCTGGTTGCAAGGTCCAGAGAGCATGTTGCTGTCAAGTCCAAATCAGAAAAAGGTGAGAACTTTCATCTGAAATCCTGCAGGTAGAAATCTTTCCTCCTCAGCAACATTAAACTGCTCTACTAAAAATGTAGCTGCAATTAGCTCAACTGAAAATCAGTGAACTGTATAACTGTTTGAGTCTAACAGCTGAATCAGAAATTAGCAGGGGCTGGGTGAAAATGCATTGCAATAATTGAAAGATTTCAGTTTCTGCCTCCTTTTTGAAACAACGCCCCCTATACATATTTTAAATGTATTTCTCTTCTGTTATGATAGAAAATCTAAAGAATTGTAGGATAGCCACCAAAAAAGTTAAGAGCAAGTAGCCAAAAGAAATGGTTATAAAGATGAAAAAGCTATTGAACAAGAAATAGCTAATCTGCTGAAAATGGCAAAAACTGTACAGCAACAAATAGCTATAGTTAGATGAATTTAGCTAAACTAGAATGGTAACAGTTAGGAAACCAATAGCTAAAGAGCAGTCACAATAAATAATAATAATAATAATTTAAACTTTATTGATCCCACATCCATTCTGTGTTAACAACCTGCCCCTTGGAGGCGCCGAGAACGTGGTTCCTTCTGCCTGTGAAGCAGATGTGTAACATTTGATCAAATTTCCCTGTAAATGATTTACCCACAGGGTCAAAAAAGCCCCACTGTTTCCAAAAGTTCAGGTTCCCACCCTGTACCTCACTGTTCCTGTGACAGCACGTGCAGCTCTGCTGCTCCAAACACAGCACGGTGTCTCCCTGCTTCAGGCTAAATACATTAACACGTTTCACCTCCTCTAGTCATTTCTGATCAATGAGTTTCAGCAAAGGGCAGAGTGAAAGTCTACAGATTACTCACTTCCCCTTAGCAATTAGTGTTGGCTGAATTCAGCTCATTAGAAAGGAAAATGAAACGTTACACCTGTGCTTTTACATCTAAGTAACCGGGTAGTAAGAAACGGCTAACCGTCATAGCCAACTGTCAGAACTGCTCTGTCACACTCACCATGATGTCGCCTTTGCATTCGTACAAACAGTGGTGGGCTAGCTCCTGGTTGGTACCGCCACCATAAAGAACACTGGAGCAGGCCATGTGCATGAGGTCTTGTACTGAAACAGACAGATAATGACATAAGCTGTAGGAAGATTATATTTAACTTTTTTAGACGTTTTTCTGTTGTCTGAAGTTCTTACCTTTCTGGTGGAAGTCGGGTTTTTCTTCCAGCTCATTCAGCGGAGCCCAGACCAGATCGGCCTTATGGTAATCCTGTTCGACAGAAGACCGCTGCCTCAGCTCTGGCACCTCCGCCTGGTACCTTGATCCAATATTTATCCGCCTGCGAACATTAACACCAAGTGTAAATGACAAAGGCTGGATATAAATAGGAGCAATACAGTCACTGGGCTAATAGATTATATCAATATCAAGTTGTTTTGCGCCTCAGATCTGGTTTGGGTTTCTTAGAGTATCTTTCTGCCCTTTGGTCTTTAAATAGACTATTAGGACTCTGAGGGTCTGCAACAATTCTGACATGCTTTTGATTTTGAGCTTGGTTACACCAGTGCTCTCAGCATCATGACTACAATGCAAACGACGATCAAAATTATGAATCGGGTTTTCAGTCAACAGGACAGAAGACACAGTTTCTCATGCAGACCCCAGCCAGGACCAGTAGTCCTGCAGTATTTCTACTTGACTGTGCGCTTGTTTGTATGTGTGAGTACTCCTCGGCAGCCTCCCCCAGGGAACGCGTGTTGCTTAAAGTTGAACTACAGCGGTGAGTGTTTTCACACTAGGACCAGGTGAAGCAGTGATTTATGGGAAGCCTCCCTGATTAACTAACTAAGTAACTGCTGAGCAGCTGGCACCATTCGTACGACAGCTTGCACAACGCACCCCCATAAAACTACACCTCAGAGTAGATGATACCACTGTGATGTGTTCATGTGCTTGGTATTGTCTCTTGTTTTTTTAAATGTCATCCATCACTCTTGCCAACAGATTTCTGCCTCTGTTTTATTATTTGTGGCGTTGTCTCAATCTTTTCACAGTACATTTTAATAAAGCATTGTTAGCTGTTTATTTGTGGCGCAGCTCCAATAATTAACTCCTACGTTAAATTGCAAAAAGAACCACATGGAAGTTAACTGTTGTTAGAATCCTGCTAATATCAGACTTGGACTTCATTTTAGTCATCTTTTAACTACATCTGCCACATTGTTACTCACTTCCTTAGCAAATGTGCTAGTTTTAAAACATTGTTATTTATATATTATTTTAAAGAACATTAAGGCTTTGCAATTTTGCACTATAAATTTCCAAATTAATTTGAGCACTTTCTGACTTCACGGAGTTTTGGTGATTTTTAAAAAAATGTATGTTACCTCTATTACTGTTAAAAGTTACTCTGCATGGGAACAGACATGTTTGCTTTAGAGGTCTAACCAGACAGGAAGGAATAATAAAAATCATAAGGGCAGCCCCCCTCCCCTTCGAGTGTAATATTCTTCTTCTGAATCACAAAAAAACGTGTGAGTAAGATAAGCACAGTAGGTGCATTCTCCCCAGTCATGCCTTGAAACTACCTACAGGAACACATCCTCAGCTTGGGATGGCTTGTTTTCTGAGAAGAGTTGTGAAAACGGCTCTTTTTGTGTCTGGCCCATTTAGTTTGCAAGGCTTGCAACACGAAATTCATTGAAGTCACTCTATTATGTCATTTGGCCTGGCTAGTGGCTCACTTACAATGCAAATGAACTGCAGGGAACACACAAGATTTTAACCTGGTGAGATGGAGCAGTAATGGCTCCAGAGTCGCCCCACAGTGCATAGAAACCCCCAAGTGCTGCAGAAAACTCCTGCAGCTTGAAGTCAACAGAGTGCTGGATCAGATGGCCTGCAGCTGCCATGCCTGCATTTTGGAAGTAGTTTGAGACAGGGGAAGGTCGGGGATTCCCAGTAGGTGCAGGGCTCTGGAATATTTGACGTGGTCGGGTCAGGCAAGTTGGTGGGTCATGGTGGCACAAGGCTGCAATCCTTTGATTTGCACCAAATAAAAGGACATCAAAGGAAAGAACGGTCCTTGCAGAGGACAGAATGGATGCAAGACTGTAGTTCATGGAAGAATTTTGGTTGAAATGTTTCATCTGAAGAGGGGCATATGAAGTGACCAATCCTGCAACCTGTGGGTTGGCACTGTCCCAAGGACCCATCAGCATGCAGACCCCTTACTCTTTTTTTTATCAACGTCTGTTATGCATGTGCCTCCTCCAGTGCAGAATTTTAAGGTCTGACTCATGTCCATTACCTAATAGTTGGATGTGATGTTGACTGATTGTTCAGAATGAGGTCACGTTCGCCTGTGGCATGTGTCTATTTCTGATTTTAATTTGTCACCATTAGAAAACACTAAACACCTTTTCTTTGTCCTTTTGCTGATACTGTACAAACTTAACTGTAATATAATTGGCAATGTACAGCAAAGTGGAAACACAGACACCAGGGGGCCCAAGAACGGTGAGAATCTCAGACCCTCAGCTATTGCAGGGTTGTTTTGTCCAGGCAGCTCATTAGGTATTTGCTGTAGTATTAAACAGCGGGAGTCCTCGGTTTAAAAGACTGAAACTTGAATATGAAAAAAGCCACATGTGGAGTTGTGTTTCTCTACATATGTGGCAAATTTAAACACCAAAGGGCAAAGACTGCACAGCTGGCTTTGAAGCTATTACTTTTTTGAAAATGTTTACGGTTGACAAGATGCACTTCACTCAGAGAGCGAGTGAGAGAGAGAGAGAGAGAGAGAGACCTTACAGACAAAACAGTGAGACATTCAGAAGGTGGATGCTGCCACAAACTGCTGGCTATGGATGACAGGGCAAAAGATTCCAGTGGTAACAGTGGCGTACGAGGGGAGGCGGCTCTAAAGGATTGGTTTAGAATTTCAAGTGATCCGCGCGCTCTTTCAAGACATTACATGATTCATCCCTGTGTTATGGTTTGAATAATTGATTGCAGATCTTGCTACTGCGGCTCTGATAATGCACGTGTTAGAGGGACTGTGTCATTTTTATGGAAATAACACAGAAAAGCCACTGTTTCCATAATGGAAGATGAGGCTTTTGAAGATGAAGGCAGAGAAATACTCACGGCTCTAGGCTGACTGGAGTAGCCTCACCGATCGCAGACAGGATGGGTGGTGTGATGTCACAGCTGTCTGTGAAGGGGAAACGGAACAAAATTAACATCAAATGTTCATGTTAGAGGAACAGGAAGTTGGTAAAGTTTTGTTGACTTTATGTAATGACTTACTGGACCGCAACAGACTACGTGTGGCAGATTTTGGCGTTGCCGGAGGCTGCAGGCTTTGGCCACTGGCTGCAGCAGCAGCCGAGGATAAGAACGTAGAGAAGTACAGGCCCGAGCCTTCCCTGACAGGGCTGAGGATAGGGGGAGGCGTATAGGGCGGCATGCTGAGAGGGTTCTCTGCGAGGCGTACAGGTGAACGTAGGTGGCTCTGGTAGGGTGTGATGCTGGAGTAAACAGGTGGAGCGATGAATAAACCCGGTTTAGGTGGTGGGATGAAGAGAGGCTCAGGCCGTGGCCGTCGCTTGGACTTTTTACCATCTTCGTCTTTGTCCCCATCTGCACCACCATTCTGGAGAAACATAAGTTGTTATGAAGGTCAATTAAAAAAATGTAAACAGATGAGATCATTTTCAGGTTTATCTAAACAATTCATTTTCCACGAATAATATTCAACCCCAAACATATTTGTGGAGAAGATTGCACCTTTCTTAAGTAAATAACAAATTAGCTAAAAAAAGACAAAATAGGTATTAGAATATTAACCAAAAAAACGACTTGAGAATATTAGCACAAAACAAAATGTTGCCTAGTTCTAAAAACTGATAAATAATTCCAGAGAGACTGAAAATGCCCAAGAAACACATAACACACATTTAAATAAAAAGATTCGGCAAACAAAATAAAACCTACCACACAGAATCTAACCACGACTTGTCCTCAGGTCAGACTCTGGCAATGCAGAGTTCAGGACATAATGTACAGTACACAGCAAAACCTAAACCCTGATAATCTGCTTGATCTGGGGCAGGACACTTAAGCCCCCCCCCCACTCTCACATCCCCACCCCAACCATAACTAAAAGTGTGAAAGGAAAAAATATGCAGACAAGTAAATAAGGGGAGACTCGGTGTGTGTGTGTGTGTGATGGTGTGTGTGTGTGAGGGTGTGTGTGTGTGTGTGTGTGTGTTTGTGTGTGTGTGTGATGGGGTGTGTGTGTGTGTGTGTGTTTGTGTGTGTGTGTGATGGGGTGTGTGTGTGTGTGTGTGTTATTATATAGGGAGTGTAAGTATCAGGCAGATCAGTTGACAGAGATGATGTAACAGACTGAAACATATTCCTTTCTTTTGCATACAAGTATCACGATGCCTTCGTGAACTGCACTGACCTGCTCTGCGTTATCTGACAAGGAGTTCCTAAGGGAGCGTCTTCGGCTGACAATGACTGAGGGTTTGTGGTCCGTGCGGCCCAAGTCCTGAGGGTTTGGAGCCCTGGGGGTCCAGCTTGAGGCCAGTGTTGCTTCATCTCTGTCCGGGGACGAAGGTTCCTGCCTTCGCACCGGAACAGAGACAGGAATGACGAGTGGCAGAAGGTTCTCGTCTCGATGCCTCTTGGCATTCATGCCCTCTGAGTCAGCAGGGCTCCATGGTCTGTGGGACTCCTGCGTGGTTGGTAAAAAGTGTTACAGTACAACTGGGAAATGTGTTTCTTCATCAGATAAAGTACTTTTGACAGGAAGGGACAATTTTATCTTTAAGTTGTTTATTAAGTTGTCAATGAAAACTTCTGAGTCAAACCCTGAAGTATGAGTTCAAGTGCGAGTCACTGACTCCCAAGTCCAAGTTGAGTCACAAGTCCTGGAGCCACGCTCAAGTACTCAAAGGTTACACGTCTTGGGAGCCAGTAGACAACAAGGGGCTACTGCACACTTGTTCACCTCACAACCAAATACAATAAATCAATATTCAATCTTGTGAGTGTAAACAAAAACAAACTGCAAAAGCCTGCTGTAAAACATGTCAGGATGAAGAGCAGAGCGCGGACAAACTGCCGTGGGCTGATACTGTATTTGCTGTTGTAGGTGTAGCACACACCTTACAGGAATGACAAAGAAACAGTCTCTAAATGCATTCTTCACATATCTGTTAGTTGTGAAAGACATGATGGCTGGTTATGAGCAGTGTGCATGTGTGTGTTCTGCAGAAACTACCGAGAAGACAAAGGCATTCGACCCTGGCACTAACTACATCTTCACTGGAACAGATTCAGGCCAACAGTAAACAGGGCTTTACTGGATCTGTGCTCATGATCACTGGTGGAAAACTCCAGACTTTACACCACAGTTGAGGACTATTTTGCTGAGCGGTGCACACAGGGCAACCATGCACCCCTCCCTGGATATACAGAGAGAGAGGGGAGGGGGAAGGGGGCAGACAAGGCCAGGCTGGTGTTTCTCTCTCCTTTGATGGGATGGGGGAGGTGTGCAGGCATGTAACCAAACACAGTGTCTATATGATCAGCTAACCATGAGGCAAATCCAGGGCACAGCCGCGTTGAACTGCAGACATACTGACTCAGTGCTGTTTGGAAACGGGACCCGTTGCACAATCACGACATCCAGCAGAAAAGTGAACAGCTCCACAGGACAAACCAGCGTCATTTATTAGGCGGTTTGTTTAAAACAGTTACCGAGATCTTAGGGGATACATATTAAGCTGCCGGTGGAGGATATAATTATATACTGACAAAAATCATACACAAAGACTCATTTAGTCACAGTTTCCCACCACACAAAGGCAGAGCCCAGCAGCTCAGCTCTGTGCTCTCTTTTTTTTTTGTGCACCATCTCTCCCAGCAACATGTTAATCACAAGCAACACAAGTTTTGGCAGAATTTTCTTGGCAGTTGCAGGAGGCTGTTCATGTTCTCACTCTTGTTCTGGGAGCTACAATCCCACTGCAATTAAAGAGTGGAATAACACTAGGAAAAAAAACTGATTTCTCACTCTAACCAGAATATAATAAAACAAAACTGTGCAATTAAGTTTCCTGACATTCACTACCAGAAAAAGACCATGTTGGCCTATAAAGTACACGTCACAACAAACCAAGCCTTTGTTTTGCTCACTTCTACTACAACTGCCAAACCACCAGTTCTAATGTTTAAAACTCTGATTAAAAGATATAAAACACAATATTGAACACTTGTCACAGTTGATTTAGTTTAATCAGAGGTGTATAACAGTGGTTTCGTTGTAGAGTCACAGTTGATTTTGTTTAATCAGATTCCATTTGAGGTGTATAACAGTGGTTTCGTTGTAGTGGTATTAGTGTAGTGGCTAATGTTTGTTGCAATATTATGAATGTGAAACCTTTGAGACCTTTTACCAATAATATTTAACACCACAAGTTTTTTAATATTCTACTACAATCTTTACTTTATTGATATTTGATATAGTAAGTGTCGGGCATATGTAACTGCTAACTTACCTTGACAGTGTGTGATGGCAGCGACTCCATTTCTGAGGCCTTCTGAGCAAGGGTCTCCAGGTTGACCTCCTGGGACACCCTGCGTTTCCTTCTTGTGCTCTGGATGACACCTGTAGGGGCCGCTTGAATGTCCCGTGTCCCGTTTTGAGAAACCTGCAGCACTAAGGCTGATTGTTCTGTAGCGACTGGGAGAAAGGGGTTTTCAGAAGGTGCCCCTCCTTCCCTGGAGAGCCTCCGCGATCTGCGCAGCTGTGTCTGGAGTTGTGACTGGGACAGCGGTTCCGGCTGGAGGGGATCTGAAGACTGCTGGGGTTCTGGAGTAATGTCCTGGATGATCGGTTCCTGGACTTTCAGGGGAGCAGGGGCAGAGGACTCCTGCGAGTGAACCACTACAGGCTGTGGGTGAGCATGTGTATTTTGTGGAGTGGGGTAATAGTCATGCACATGAGGGGTTTGTTGTTGCAACTGCTGATGTTGCATTTGCTGCTGAATATGGAGCTGTTGTTGTTGTTGCTGCTGCTGCTGTTGTTGTTGTTGCTCATGCATTTGTTCTTGTTGTTGATGCTGTTGCTGCTGTTGTAGGTGTTGCTGTACTTGCTGTTGATGCTGAATGATTTGTTGCTGCTGTTGAATTTTTTGCTGAATTATGTGATGTTGCTGCCGTTGTATTTGCTCTTCCTTTTGCAGATGCTCTAACTGGTTTGCGGGTTTTGCCTGTGCGGGGTAGTTTGGTGGGTTAGGTAAGGTTGTCCTGTTCCCTTGAAAGGTTTGGTAGTAGGCTGGCAGGTGCTGCTTGGGCTGACCAAAGGCCAACTGGAAGGGCTGTAAAACGGAGCTCCCTCCAGGTTGAGATGTACTGTGCTGCTGAGCATTCAGTGCTCCAGGTTTTAACGATTCCTGAAAGGCCTGGGACGACTGTTGCTGCTGCTGCTGTTGCTGCTGCTGCCGCTGCTGGTGGTCCCCCTCAAATGCCCCAGGCCTTGCTGGCACGGAAGGGCTGTAAAACGGAGCTCCCTCCAGGTTGAGATGTACTGTGCTGCTGAGCATTCAGTGCTCCAGGTTTTAACGATTCCTGAAAGGCCTGGGACGACTGTTGCTGCTGCTGCTGTTGCTGCTGCTGCTGCTGCTGATCCCACTCAATGCCCCGAGTCTTGACTGCATCCCTGTAGGCTTCAGCTGCAGGTACTGCTCCCAGAGGCTGCTTCTCTGCAGCTCTGTTTGGGAGTTGTTGATGTGTTTGTAAACCAGGAGTCTCATGCATCTGCTTTGGAAATGCATTCTGAGTTCTGGAGTCTGTCACATTGACTCCACCGATGTAATTTGTAAAGTTCTGTGTCCAGTTAGTCACCGGTGCCCAGGAGGCAGCTCTCTGCTGCTGGGAGAGTGATGGCTGCTGCTGATTTGGCTCTGGGTGGCTCCACTTCATAGGTACGGTCTGTTGATAATGGCCCCTACTCTGGTCACCCTTATCTGGGCTAAAAATGACAGAGTTCAGGTACATGTGAGGAACTTCTGGATTCGAGGTCACGGTACTTGCTGCCTCACTCTGTCCAGAGTCTGAGGCAGTGGCGCCTGTGACAAAGTAGGTCCCTTCAGGATGCTGAGAAGTCTCTTTCATGGCTACACTTTGTTCATTAAAAAAGGTGATTCTCTTGCCTGTACGTTTGACGCTGGGTTTCTGCTGGGCTGGTATGCTCATGACGAGCATGAATAATCCTGTGCAGATTAAATATATTTTCCACCAAGTCTCCAATTACTACTGAAGCTCCACCTGGTGTCTATTACTCCAAATTTTTGCCCAAAGTCACATCAAGCTGTAGAAGCAGCATGACAGTCAGTCAAGATAATGTTCTTGTCCCCTCAGAAGGTCTTGGTGACCCTTTCAGGGGTCGTCTGCCCGGGGTGACTGGATCTGAAGTAGTCTGCGAGTACTTCTCATTCATGGGCAACACCCTGTACAGAGAAAATGAAAGGAGAGGTCAGGCATTGAGCCATCAGCCTAAAAGGGGTAACCACAGGGGGCTCTTATTGTCCTTCCTGCCACAGCCATGTAAAAACCTGCTGTTTGCTTTTTCAACAATAGACCTCCACTGAAAGGTATCGAGTGTGAGAATAGAGGGGAGGGGTAGGTCTAAAGAGTGTCATTATTCCCTCAGCTCACATGACACAGGGATAAGGCACTGCATGCAGTTCAACACTTACACTACAGGATCTGCATAGACTGTTACTGAGGACGGCTGTTTGTAAAGTAAGCTAAATCAATAGTTCCTGGAAATGTCATTAAACGAATATCACTGCAGCAGAATGAGCACAAACATGCACACCGCAAAAAAAGAAGTTAGTAACAGTTGCTCACTTGCACCTGCATCACGTTTCTTTTTCCCAACCAAGAACCCCTCAGAGCTCAAGAGACTCCGCAACATAAAAGATACATGTTTTTTTCCTGACAAAGCCCTGAAAGACGGCAGTTAAAACGTGACAGAAACTTTTTTACAACTACGTGACTCATCTGCCATGAAAAAGGCAAACCATGCCCTTTGCACTGTAGCTGCACACTCAAAACCGAATCAGCAAGCGTGAGTCATGGTGAGAAAAAAAAGGAAATGGCCTCAAAAGGGCTCTGACAGTCTGTAATGGGATTCATGTAACTGCCATTTTAATTTGGTATGACTGACAAAACTATGACTTAGTTACTGCACTTTAATATGAGGCTTGACAAATGTGAAAGTTGCAGGAATTGCAACCAGTAAAAGTATTCATTAATAAAAACTGTACTGCTATAGTATAGTGTAAGAAATTTGACCTCCTCCGACACCAACTTCACCTCCCGTGATCACTGATCAGAACATGGAACCGAACTGACTTTGCACTTCATACATCTTCATCCATTCTGTAGTTTAAATGTTAGCCACTTAGACTTTGCACTTCATACATTCTGTAGTTTAAATGTTAGCCACTTCCAAATCAAATGAACTCCAGTAACACCATCATGACCAGAAGGTGGGAGCATGGATGCAGCCAGATCCATTCTTCAAGTTTCTCAAGAGGATGATGAAAAGGAGAAGCATCCCTTCTTAAGGATCACAACAGTAGAAGATCTGCACATGTTACATTGACAGCTTTGATGCCAAACACCTTTCTCAAACAAACCTCCTTATTAATCTGGGCTTTGAACTGGCACCATTTGGCTGAGAAAAAAATTACATGAATGTCTAAAATGTGGGTTTGGCCAAAACCACCTCCAACAACCAGGAAAGTGAGTGGCAAACACCCCCCCCTCCCCTCCCTTTTTACCCAGGTCAGCAGCCTACAATGAAACACAAGTGTCCTAAAATAGAGCGCTGCAGCTGTTCAGATCGTGCACTGGCTCAGGGGCACCGCTGACTGGGGGAACTTGAGTGAATGTCCATGCTGTGCAGCTAAACTGCCTGCTGGTGTGGCATCAGCAAAGCCATGTGATGCTGCACAAGCCTAGGTTGCTACACCCCCAGCCCCCATCCAAGAGGTGCACAGGAAAAACAGTGACTCTCCTGGTGCAGTGAGGGTGAGGCTTTGAAAGCTGATAAACACATCTGCTGATTAGACCGCAACCGCGATGACTGCTTTCACCAGGTGCACACCGAGGTGTGGGATCATCGTCAACAGGCTTTACAGCCGGCTGTAGGTGAAATCCCCATAAACCCACTGACACTGTGGAGCACCAAGTGCTGCCTTCATCCACAACTGCTGCTCATGAGTCTGAACATTAAGGCTAGATTCTAAATACTACACGGATGGGACTTTATTTTTAAGTTGCATGGACAACGATGTCTAAAGCAACTCTTCCATCAGATCTCTACCCCTACATTAAATATCTTCATCTAGCACTGTGACATTAATAGTGGCATCAGAATTTACTCTTTTCCTCGATGTACACACTGACTGCTGCTGTCATCCACTTGAACTGGCAGTGTGCATGAGCTCATTGCTGATGTCATCAACCTGCAGCAGGAGCAGACCGGTAAAGCTGGACAACTGCTGTCAGGACAAACAACCAGAAAAGAACTGAGTTGATATGAAGAAAGCAGTGTCAACAGAACCAAAGTTACACCAGAGCACTTCAGCTCAGATGCATCTCAAATGTAATACACATGTCTTAACTTAGACAGACCTGAGAGGCCGCCTGTTATAATATCCTAGTTGTGGTTTTACAAAAAGTACGAATACTGTGCCAAGTCAATACATAAAAGGGACCGGTTTGTCTAAAAAGTTTGCAAACCACACATTAATCACACTTTTGTTCATACAGCAGTACACTTAACATAAAAGGCCAACAACACTATACTATAACAACGGATTTTTAAACAGGAAACTGATACAATCACAAAATACAACAACATTAGCATCCACGCCAAAAAGACACTATTAACACGTACTAGTGAAGTTAACAAAAAATGTGTGTAAATAACTAAGACAAAGCGCCATGTTTACCCTTGTTGCTACATGTACAAAGTACTACGTGCACATGTATATGTCGTCAGAGGGCAGCTGTGATCAAACCTGATCTAAATGAGTCCCGACTAAAGACACTGCTGATGTGAACACAGTCCACATCAAATCTGACCTACAGTAGGTGAATGCACGCCGAGCAGCTCGGCCTCTCCATGCACCGTGCAACAAGAAATTGAGAAGTAAAAACCCAGATATTTCCTCCTCTTCAACATCCTCATCACCCTCACTTTGAAATCCTTTGTTGCAGAACACGGATTATCACACTCTCTAATGCCCTGTCCCTGTGCGCAGCAACCCGAGCTGTACAACAATGCACCCTGCTGCTGCACGACAAAAACAAAACAACCAACTTGGCTGAAACGTCACATGCCTCCCAGGAGTGTGTGTGTGTGTGTGTGGTGACAGAGAGAGTGGGGCAAACGATGAGCCTCGAGTGGATGGTCTGACCCCCGGCTCGTGTGCGCGCCTCCGGTGCGTAAACAAAAGTTTGTCGGTGAATAACACGCACAGTAGACGGCTGACGCGACCCAGTCACGGACTCGGCGGCTCCAGGAGTTCCTTCCGTCTGCCCACGGTACTCACCGCGCTCGTCACCAACGCAGCAGTGGAGGTGGAAGAGGCTGAGCCCGCAGGAACACGCAGCTCTGCAGGCCCGCGCGACGCGACCACAACGAAGATGTTGAAGATGGTGGAGATGGTGATGACTCCTGCAAACATCCCCGGGGTTGACTCATGCTATGCTGCTGCTGACCTCACTCAATGCTACTATTTTTTTCCCCCTTCTCTCCTCCCCGCCCCGTTACAAAGTCAACAGGGGGAAAAATAAAGAGAGGAGGGGTGGGGGGCGACGTCGGTGCGTAAACACAGTCCTAATCTGTACAGACGCGGGGGAAACGCAATTGCCGCCAGCGTTGCCGCGTGTTGCATATTATTGCAGGAGGGTTGCACAAGAAAACACAAACAGTCACTCACTCTGGATGTGGGCCTTTCTGCTGCTGTGTCTCTGTGTCGCTGCCGTGTTTCTGCTTGTCTTGTGATGCCCCCCCCCTTCCTCCTCTGCGAGCTCACTGGCCACACCCACTTCCTTGCCCATATAAGGCTTTCCTCTGACACGCAGCAGCGCTGTAATTTACGGAGCAAGAATCCTCTCCCAGTCCATGCGGGAAATTCCAGCACACACGATGTGGACTGGACAGTAGGGTGGGGTGAGGAGAGGGGCTTTCACCTTCACTTTCCTATCATGTTCACACTTTTATTTTCACTACGCCCCACCGCTGTTTTTAATTTAATGTCTTTACAGCTGCAGACTTGTGCACGAGATACTTACAATAATCATTGTAAGTAGAAACAAAATCCAAATAGCTACAATGCACCACAAGGTTTGGAAAAAGGGTAGACAGAGGACCTAGTCAACACGAGATCAAATTAAATCCAACCAAACATTACTTTCTAAACTATAAATTATCTCAGAAATATCTTAAAATAAGCTAACTAAAAAAAGACTACCAGATAGCCAAAAAGAAGATACGTTAGCCTTTATTGCTAAATATATCTAATAGATTAGTAAGTAAGCCCTGAAAATTAAAAATAGCAAAAAAGCCATGGCCTTTATAGTTCACGGCAGCTAGTGGGTGATGGTGTTAATATAACTGTCAGGTGTTAAGTAACTAAAATTAGTGGTGGAGCTGCACACGTTTGACTTGTAAGTTTAAAAAAATACACTACAAATTTGGTTATTGCTTTAAAAAACAAACATATAAACAAATATTCTGCATATTAAGTGATGTGCATCACAGCTCTGGTCTACCTAGAGCTACTTGTCCACCCAGGGAGAAGACACAGCTAGGTTTCGACTTTACAACGCCTTTACAAGTGGGGGAAAAAAACAGTGTATCATTTGACGCACCTCTTGTGCTCATCTGCAACATCTATACTTTCACCTGCAAATTGGATTAGTGCAGAAAGGCCTTTGTTATCATATCAGTAAATGCAATGTCACCAGACAAGACTGGGCATGTACCATTTATTGATATGCAGGTCTGCAACCTGTCCTCTCTCTCTCTCTCTCTCTCTCTCTCTCCCTGCAAACATTATCAGATGCAGATGACAAGGAGTTCAGTCAGGCTTACCTATCTCCCACTATTGACATTCTCTGAGAACCTGTGTCTGTGTGTGTGTATCTGTATGTGTCAGTATAGCTGTTCTTTTAGAGACATTTTGTAGGTATTTATACACAAGGCTTCAGGATTAATTATGGATCAATAATTGACGTTGTTTACTAACACTAACAACTAGTTAATTCCCTGTAGCAGGACTGAAGCCTTAGTCACATAAAAGCATCGTTAAATGTTATAATGTATAATTGCATAAAACTTTTTTTTAATTTAGAAAGACAGATTATTGCAGTCGTGCAGCCTCTTATTTATGGAATAGTGTTTATTGTCATTCTACAACACACTGTCCAGTTGCACAGCAGGTGCAGCAAATCTCAAATGTCAGGTGAATCCAGGCTAAAGCCGCCTCTACCTAACTACAGTGCACTAAGCCACGGATGACCCCGTTAACTTAACACTTTAGCATGACTTGGCACGAATGCGTGGGTGAGGTGTGTGTCCTTTCAGTACTTACCTTACTCCCTGTCTCCTCATCACGGCACGCGCTCCTTCATTGTCCCGTCTCCTCCTCCTGCTGACTCCTCTATCTCTGCTGCAGCTACAGCTAACAGTGAGCTACACGCCCAAAGGCTGCGATTAACTGACGAAATCTTATTAACTTTTTTCCTTCAATAATTTCTTCTGGAATCTTTTTACAACCCACAAGTTCTCAGTCACACTTTTAAGAAATTGTTAGATTAACACAGCATTTAAACTAATGTAAGATTGCCGCGATCGAATGTTCTGTGGAATGTTGTCCCACTCATAAATGTAGTAGATGTGTTTAATAGTTGCAGCCAGAACCAGACTGAATACTGAAATCCGTTGCTGGGGCGCGTTCAGTTTCTGATTCGCTGTATCACCTAAGGAGAAACGGCTGACAGACAAGATGGTAAACGTCCACACCGGAAGTCGTATAGACAAAATAGTATTTTCTGTTTAGTTTTGTATTATCCACTACTGAAGCTGTCCATGTCACCTGGCTGTTGGTTGAGATAACGAGTGCTGCGAATTCGTTTTTAAACTAAAATTTCTTAAAATGTATAACTTTTCCTGCAAAGATTAAAAATGCCGTCGCCGGAAGTGCGCGACGGTGAACCATTTTAAATAAATCAGCGCAGGCAGAGGCAGGCTAAAGCTAGCGCTCACAAGCTAGTATAAACACAGCATTTGAGGCAGGGTCTCAGACAGTAGTTATGTTGCAACACTAAAGAAAAACTGTATCACTTTAAAACAGCATTATAGTATTTTTTTCTTTTTTCCTTGGGGCCATTCTGCAAAGCTGCTGTTAAATCACTTTTGAAGAATGCAGGTGCAGAGGGTCGTCCTAAACTCACGTCCAGGTTGGCAACTTTGTCACAAAAAATCACATGCAGTTAGTGACGTTTTTGTTAATACGACTACTTGTCCACTAACCATCTTCAATACTGCAGTTAAATTCCCCTCAAGTCTTCCTCAATCCCTCTTGTCTGACTGCTCAAACTACAGACTACAAACTACTTCCCTAACGTTTAGGCATAATAGTTTTGACACTTTTTGTGTGAATAATTCTAGACTTTAGGCCACATGGATCAATTTAGACAAAACGTTTGCTTTATTAATTTGGTGAATAATTCTACACTTTAGACCACATGAATCAATTTAGACAAAACGTTTGCTTTATCCAGATTAACCTTTTGTTGTTATCAATGCTATATTTTATGCTAAACATTAACGATTGCTTTCAAATATTTCTAACTCTGTTGACTGTTGTGTATGGGCTAAAGCTGACATCAGTTTAATGTTTAAGTCATATCTCTGTAATAATAATAATAATATCAACATGTTTATAGGTTTTCCTTTCCATGACAATGTGTGTTTACTGACATAAAGGTGAAAATGGAACACCAGCTACTGAAAACTTCCGTCTGGAGGAGGCAACACTATCACCTGACCTTCAAGATGGAGATGTCCTTGTTCGGACAGTTAACCTTTCTGTCGATCCTTACATGGTAATTACACTACATTACATTGCATTATAAGCACAGAGTCAGACATGCTAAAGGTCGTACATACTTTGAAAGCAAAATAAAAATAATGTTAGTGAATCTTATTCTTCTTCCCGTGTCATCACAGCGGTGCAGGATGAATGAAGACTCTGGTGCTGATTACTTGTCTCCATGGCAGCTGTCTGAGTGTCTGGATGGTGGAGGTGTGGGTGTGGTTGAGTCCAGTCGCTGCAGCCATTTGGCTGAAGGCGACGTGGTCACTTCCTTCACCTGGCCCTGGCAGAGCCGTGCTGTTCTTAAAGGGAGCAGCCTGCAGAAGGTGTGGTGCATTATTATGGTTCCACAGAAGTGCACTAAATAAAGGCATTGTGTGTGTGTGAAAGAGAAGCTGCGCTGACGTCTTTTCTAACTCCTAATCTCTTCCTACTGCAGGTAGATCCACTAATGGTGGGTGGTCACCTGTCCTACTTTCTTGGTGCAGTTGGCATGACAGGCCTCACTGCGATGCTGGGCGTAAGGGAAAAGGGTCATGTGACCAAGGGGGCCAATCAGACCATGGTGGTGAGCGGCGCTGCAGGTGCCTGTGGCTCCATAGCTGGGCAGGTAAATACAAACAATGTGTGTCCTTCTCTTACATCATCCATGTGACGTTACCTTCCAGTCAGTGTTGGCAGTTTTGCCAAACTATTAGATAAGATTTAACTGCTATATTCTTTGGTGAACGTTAGTGGATTTTGTAATATAGCTATTCACCATAACATTTTTCTAACAGTGATACAAACAACAGGAAATGGCATACTAAAGAATTATGCCATTGTCTTAGTCCTAAGATAATTTGTATTTTACATGGTCATAAAAAGTCTCATTCAACATAATTTTCAAAAGCTACTAGTTCAGTGTTTTTCAACCTTGAATTTAAATCGGGTTAGGGTTAAAAAAAAAATTATTGATAAAAATATGATTTCATTAATCATTATTCTTTTTAAATGTATGATTAAAAAACCACAGACAATCTTAAATAACTGTGTTCTTTCACTTTCATGAATATAAATCAGGTTCAAATAAAATGCAGCGTATAAAAATATCAAATCTGGTGCATCTTGATTGTCACAAGTGACAGCTACTAACATGTCTCTGCCAGAAATGTGTGATGTCAAAAAGGGGTCACAAGCCACAGAAACTTGTGATGTCAAAAAGGGGTCACAAGCCAAAAAAGGTTGGAGACCACTAGTACTAGTACTAGTTAGTTTAAACTTTGCGTCTAACGCTGCTTCTCTGTTCCAGATCGGCCGACTGGACGGCTGTGTGAGGGTTGTTGGGATCTGTGGCTCTGACGAAAAGTGCAAAGTTTTAGTGGATGATTTGGGCTTCACTGCGGCCGTCAACTACCGCAGAGAAGATGTTGCTGCAAGACTTAAAGAGTGCTGTCCAGATGGGGTTGACGTCTACTTCGACAACGTGGGAGGTGCCATCAGCGACACAGTAATAGCCCAGGTATGCTAACCTGTTGTAGTGCCTGAAATCTGGTCCTGACTGCGACTGTTTAAAAAAAAAAAAGCCCACCTGACAGCCTGGCATGTGTGTCTCTGTTGTTCAGATGAACAGTGGAGGTCATGTGATCCTGTGTGGGCAGATCTCTCAGTACAACAAGGATGTGCCGTATCCTCCACCTTTGAGTGAGGGAACTCAGGAAATGCTGCAAAGAAAGAGCATCACCCGAGAACGATTTATGGTTCTCAACTACATGAGCAAAGCGGATGCTGCATTGTTTGAGCTCAGCCAGTTTGTTCAGTCTGGACAAATCAAGGTAAGGAGGAAACACTGGACTGTATCATTCTCTACATCTTACCCACAACAACAGGAAAACACAACCTTTAAGAGGCGCCACTGAACATGTACAGTGTTATATTTAAGATGATCCTCGACCTTATAACATTCAAAGCTCTTAGCGTAATCCAATGAATGCCAAAGTGGGGGGCGGGCCCTTTTGGGGGGCACAGAGCTATTGCAGTGGAAACACATTGGAGCAAATTCATTTCAATTCCAATGTTCTTTTTTCCCACTTATGTGGGTTTTTATAGAGAAATGTTTTAATAATAATTTTAAAAAACTGTGAGGCTCATTTTTGTAAATGTGTTTTGTGAGTTTGGGCCATACTAATAGGTCTGTTTACGTTCTCCTGTACTTCTATTTTTAAAGACCTTCTGTTCTTCAGGTGTTGGAGACTGTGGTGAATGGCATTGAAAATATGGGAGGTATGTGATACTTCCTAATATTTCTTTTTTTTTTTACATTCCATGTCACTTGTAGAACTTCACAGGAACTGAAGTGTCTGTCCTCACTGTTTTGCAGATGCGTTCTGTTCCATGATGAAGGGGGGAAATATTGGCAAGCAAATAGTTAAAATTTCAGAGTGAGACCCATTACTGTAGTAAACACTAAAACTCAGCGGACACCTTGGGAAATTAACTCATATTTGCTTGACAGTCTGACTAATCTCACTATTTGTTGCCAATAAACCAGTGTTTCAGATAAGTCATAAATGTTAATAGTTAGTGGTTCAGGTTTCTGGGAGCTTGTGCTTCAGTTGAACAGTTCCGTGGTCCAGAGGTGGGTGTGGCTGCGGTGCGTAGGTCGAGAGAATTTTGGCAGTGTAAAAAATGTATGTCATAGTATGACACACACACACACAAAAAAAACTTCAACAACCATGTACTCCAATGAACATTTTTTATTTGTTTATTTCACAGCACTATAAACCATTAATAAAATAAAAATAGTGGTTGGCTCTAAGTTCAGTTCTCACGAGAAAAATATGTGGCAAGTGTAAATTCATATACTCTCCATTCGTTTGCTTCAGCATTTCGACACTTGAGTGGGTGCAGTCAGAGTGAACACCGGCACATACATCATACGTTTACCCCGTTTGAAAATGTGAGTCGGAGGCTGTGATGTTTTTTTTTTTTATACAGTTAATGAAAAAAACAAACAATCACAATCATTAGCAGTGTGTTATCAGAACTATCTAAATATTGGCAAAAAAAGGACAAAAAAAATCTTCACATGCATAGTTTGGAAATAGAAGTGAAATACAGCACAGTACTCAACTAGTTCCTTTAGAATCCATGTAATACTGCCTCCTGGTGGACAGATTGGCTTGTGAGCGATTCTTGCATATTATCAAATACACATCCATTTTAAAATATCACGTTATTGTTTGGTAGTGATCTGCTATGATTGGAAAAATACCTGTCTTTTCAAAGAGGGAGTAGAGATTTTGATGCAGCGTCGGCACCATTGTCCTTAGTTCAGTTCTCTCAGCCTGTGGCAGGAGTTCTACTGAGCAACAGTTTCACACTAACTAACACTGGGATTGGTATGTAGACAAGTTCCAGACTGTAACTCTGCTGGCACGTGATTTCTCGGAAAAGCTGATTAAAAGGCATTGATTGTATTGATTTATGTTCAAGAACACTGTTTGTTCCTATGGAACATCTGCCTGGACTCAAATAAATAATAAAGGAGAGAAAGACAATCTGCTGCTCACACACACTCACGGAAAAGATATTACCTTAATGATCATTAGAGACAAGCAACATGTCACACAGCTTTTCAAAAAGAACTTCCAGCCCAGGGAATGCTTTTATTTCTCCCACTCACACCGAGAGGGAATAAAAGAATGCCCAAAATAATTAATCACACAATTTCAATCAAAGTGAATCATCTTCTAGGCCACCACACATTTGGGTGATTTTTTGTTTTTTCTGTTTTTCGTTTTACATTATCATTGTTTTAAGTTCACTGAGCTGTTATGGAGTATAAAAACATTGTCCTGAAATACTACTGGGGGCCAGCCTGTTGTTCAAGTGTTCACGTTCCTGAGAAACAAACAGCTGCTTTCTGTGATCACGTTTAAAAGAGCATGAAAAGGTCAGACCAACTGTGTCTTGAAGACAGGCTGGACTGCAGTCTGTGATGTGGACATCCAATTCTTTTTGCAGTGTCAGATGTTTGAAGTGATTTTTACCCCGGATTTTATCATGAACTGATTTGCTACGGAGATTTTTTTTTTTATAACAACACACTGTTTGGATTTTCTACAACACATTTACAATCAACTATAAAATATCATCTAGATTGCTTTTCCTCACCAGCCTTGAGAAGTATGGAAAAATATACAATAGATAAAATGAATGACCTGAGCACCAGTGGACGACGACAACTAAACAAGAAGTTTGGCTCTGATTCGAATCCTACAGACTTATTCAGTTTCCTTATTTTTTTTTTAAATTTCTACAGACATAGAAAGAATACGTGGAAAGTTTCTTGAAGCCATCTTCTCAAACCCTGGCCCGCAGGCCACTTCTGGCCAGTGAACTCCACAAATCTGGCCTACAACAAGATGTTAATGATTTAATTCTGCTCTTGAGGATTTGTTTCTTCATTATTTGTACTCCTTTACTATGTTGAACTATATAGTATATATAGGGTTAAACTTTTTTTTCTATAATATATTTTTTTAATTTTTGAACAATAATAACTGATGGTGGCCCACAGCTCAATTAAGTTTGAGACCACTGCTATAAAAAGTCAATTGATTTTGAAATTTGTATCGACTTCTGCCCATTATCTCTTATCTCTTTCTATACTGTCCATGGACCAGTTGTCATCACAACGTCTAGTCTCATCATCTTACATTGAAGACCCTTGTGATCACTCTGTTCCTCTATGGAGGGGACTAGAGCGGTCTGGTGGCAGGGCAGCGTCCAGCCACCAGAAAGTCCCAGGTTTGAAACCACCTGGTCCCTGGTCCAGATAGGGTTGAGTCAGAACAGGTTCCTACTGATGAATGTACAAGCTGGAAATCTACTGCTCATACAGTACGTTGATGTTGCAGTTACAACCTTCAGCATCTCAACAGTTACACAGTCAGCTCCCTTGTAATTATTATTATTTTTGGAGAGGATAATGTGGTCTAACCTATGTCATTGTTCCAGTGCCACAGTACCCAACTGCATTAACGCTGTACAAGCATCTTCATCACTTCCAGTGCTAGACAAACAAAGGTCAAAGGTCACATCTTTTTCAGTTTCTTACTGTTTCCTGTATCATGGAACGATACTGCTGTTCAAGCTCTTCCTGAACTCTACAATGTTCAGAGCTGTGTCCGACTGTAGTAAAAATGACAACTAGGCTGAAGTGGCATTAAGTCACCAGCAGGTGCTCGGGCTGGTCAGTACTGCCTTCACTGTTGGTTGTTCTTATGTTTTTTTTTTGTTTGGTTGGTTGGATTTTGAAAAGGTAAACTGAAGGATAGGTTTGGCACGTACAGCACAACCTCTTCATGAATGAACGGAAACATTTAGTGGAAGGTCGAACCTTTCTTATTCATTCTTTGGCAGTGATGAAGTGGCTTCAGGCCAAGCAACACTTCTAAAAAAGTGCTAAAGCTCAAGTCAATGAGTCAGCTTTAACCACAGCAGAGTACAGCTCATCGTACAGCACACTGTGAACTGCAGCGCACCTTCTCGCTTAACCGCAACCTCAGCTCCCTTTCTTTTATCGCTGTAGGAGATGATTGTGCCACTAAAATGTTAGCCAACCAGCTAAACGGTCCTTCAACAGGAACAAATTTGACATCAAAACGTCCGATGAAAACATTTCCAGTTGACCAGTTCTACAGAAACTGAAATGTACCTATTTTCCACCGTGGTGTTATTCACCAACTGTCGATGCCTCTGTGCCTGCACCACAGGACCAACCGGTAGCTTTTTGCTGTTAAACAACAAGCTAAACAGGCAGTTTGTTCTCAAAGTGTGGCTTCCAGTTCACAAGATCAGCAGAACCTTGTGGGTTTTGTTGCATTTTGCAAATTACTATCAGTACGGCCAGTAATGTGCTCACTGGTGCTTCACAGAAACATGCATATTTAGTAAACAATACTACCTAGGAAATGGGATAGTGAGTGTTTCTTTTCCCGTGAAGTAGCTGTGGTGAAACAGAAAGAGAGAGAGAGAGAGAGAGAGAGAGAGAGAGAGAGAGAGAGAGAGAGAGAGAGAGGATGCAGGGGCTGCGTGGGAAAATTGAGGACTTGGTGGACAGAGACGACAAAATATATCTGTGAGGAATCGGGCGCAATGGAACGTGTGGTGCCACAGTGCAATTACTGTCAAGAGGGAGAGACGCTCTTTCCATTGTCACGAAACAGGGGGGCGGGGCCCGTCCAGGCACGGTACACCAGCAGCAGGCTGAGCACTAACGCCCACGTGCGGACGGGAGACAGGAGAAAGGCCGTGAGGCCGTAGGTCTCCAGGAGGAAGTAGCACGACTGCGTCTGCCAAGTGAGCAGCAGCAGCATGAGGAAGTGAACCGTTAGAGTCCGCCAGCGGCAGCCCGGCCGCACGAGGTGCGATCGGAAGGTGTTTCCACGGCAACGCTGATGGAGACTCCAGCAGAGGTACATGGTGAGAGGCATGTTGAAGAACAGCATCTGGAAATGAGTGCAGCGGGATTTGGTTTACGAAGTTCCAACTTCTTAAAAGTAAGGTAGAACATTGTATTTTCTTACTTGAACCACTCCAACGACATATGTCAGACTTCCCTCCAGGAAGTGTCCCTCAACGTAAATCCCAAAGGCAAAGCAGGCACCGCTGTGGCCATCTATCAACTCTCCAATGAACCAAGGACCTGCAGGTGGTGAAGAGGAAAATGTAACTGAGGAGAACGAATGGACACAATTCCATTGAAGTAAACAATAAATAAATCATTCACCTAGAGCCGTCCACAGATTGAAGAGCAGCAGTGTGAAGTAAAAAAAGTCACTTTTACTGATAAGATGGAGCGACAGATGAGCCTGAGATGCCAGTTCTGTGTATGATCAGAAAATACACCATTAGTATAAATAATACATTCTACTGTAGATGGCAAAAACCTAGCCAAACTTATAACAAGCCAGAAGATGACAAAGTAAGGGTCAGAACCAGCTAAAATGTAGCCAAAAATGCAGCAAAAACAGCTAGCCATTAATAGCTAAAGCTCAGCCCACAGTATTGAAACAAAACTAGAATCTACCGTCAGTCAAAAGTAAATCTAAAAATGCTTAAAGCGAGCTACAATACAGGAGGATTAATAGAAAGTATTGATGTTATTGGTGCTCAAGATGTTAAAAGGGAAAGGTTTAGTTCAAAACTAGCTAAAAGTTAGACGAGAAGTATGCCTAAATTGTTAGTCTTGAAGTTGCTAAATGCAACTGTAAAGATGACAACAAAATTTGATAACTGGCTTTTTCAATCATCCAACAATGTCCTTGAAATTACATGATTCAGAAGCATCTCCTGTTTATGATAAAGGAAAAGGACAAAAATGTATTTTACTGAAAGAAATACATACATCTACACAGTTCTACTGCGACACGTTGACCAGTGTTAGCACAAATGTATTTTACTAAAAAAAGAAATACAGACATCTACACAGTTATACTGCGACACGTTGACCAGTGTTAGCATGGGCTTTAAAGATGTATTTGGGTTTACCTCTGCTCGAAGGAACTTGAAGGAACCTAAAGCACAGCAGCCCGCCAACATTCAGCAGCATTACAGATATGAAGACCACCCGGCCCAGGATGTAGTGATCACTGAGGAGGATGAAGGACTGCACAAAACCAAAGCTGGGCGTCAGGCTGTCCTCCAAAGTAAAGTGCTGTTCCTGGACTGTAGAGCGGCCCGCTGAGTCCTGACCCAGGACACACAAGAAGGAAGACTTTTTTAGACAACTTAGAGTCAGGGAATTTTAATAAACAGCTCCTCTGCTGACCTCTACTTTAACTCTGATTGTGTGCAGTCCAGTGAGGTAGAGAGATGGATCCCACAACAGAACATACAGAGGACCTCCAGCAGGACGTCCCGTCCCCATCGGTTCCCCATCTATGCTTACGTGCACAGCTGTGATCGATGCCTCAGAGAAGGCCAGGATCCTGTTGGAAAAACCAGGAGAATGAAAGCCCAGACATTTTCCTTCATATATGATGTGCCTGAAGTCTTCACTTTTGGATTTTCAATTCCATCCTTTATCACCCTAACCTGCCAACAACGCTAGTATTTGCTCCATTTCTAAATTCAACCGACCAATACTCAAGAAAGAATGAGGAATGAGAATAAATAAGATGTAAAACACACCTGATGTGTGTCGATCTTTGTATGCGACCCAGTGGCTCCACCCCTGGATGCAGGTACTGTGCGTTTTTGGGGTTTGTGATGACCACTACGGGCCACTGCTCAAACCTCAGGTCAGAGAAACTGAGCAGGTCATGGTCAAAGGCCAGGACCCTGTATCTGGACAACACAAAGCGATGGCTGTGAGGCAAAAGGTCGATGACGATAATTAGGAATTTGTAGTCACGGATGTTTACCTGCGGTTGTCCATCCAGTCACCCAGCTCCAACTCCAGCGTGCCATGAGGGTGTCTGCTGTGGAGCACAGGCATCAGACCACCCAGTGTGTGCAGGTGACCACAGAGGTAGGCAACGGCAGATCTGAACACAAAGTTAATCCAAACTGTTAAAAACACCAGATTCTACCATCAAAATGTAAAACCATGTCCTAAAAAGCCAGTTTAGCATCCAGGATATCGTTACCCCATCAGATCCCGGACACCAGGAGATCGGGAGAGGATGGTGGAGGTGGTGTAGTGTCCGAACCAGATGGACTGGTTGCTCTGTAGACTCTCCACCCTGAA